GCTTAGCATACTGCTAGGATTCTGCGAAGACTAAAAGCGTGTAGTAATTAACGCGCGTCACGAATTAATTTTATTACGGTCGCGCAGTAACAATAATAGTCTACTTGCATCTTCAGCGTTGCAACCTAAAAACGAGCTATTCAAGATACAATAGCGAATGCCTCACGTAATGTTGAATGATATCTATAAACTTGCCCTGCTGAGAACATTGGAGAATGGTCGATACCTGAGTATGAGTTTTCGCTCATGGGATTTGTATGAATTTCCTCTGCTACAAAGCACGACCAAACTTCTGTGGACCGTCAAAACAGCCACTAATTTAGAAAAATCGCGATATGTTATCTTTGCCCTGCAGACTAATCGAAAAAATGTCATGTCGGAAAATATAACTCAATTCGACAACTGCAATTTGACCAACGTGAAGCTCTATCTAAATTTAGAGTCTTATCCATACGATGACATGAATTTGGATTTTGTAAAAAAAAAGATATGCAATACTTTATGATATGTATAGCCGTCTCCGTAAATCGAATTATGGATACAACAGTGCTGAGATATGGTCAACAACTATCGACTTTCTGAAGCATGATCCTTTCGTGGTTATCGATTGTTCACATCAAAACAAATCTGTCAAGAGTGCCACTGTAGGGCTGCGTTCGGAAACGTCACTCGAGTACTCTCCCTCTCTTTTTATCTCACTCTTGTATTTCGCTCACTCCAGCTATCGTCTAGTAGTGTGCACACAGTGTGTGTTTCCGAACACAGCCTACATGTGCGGATAGAATTTGAGTGTAGAGAGAATATATCAGCAAATACTACCGCATACTATCTGATCCTGCATGATCGTGTAGTTGAATACAGCCCACTAACTAACTTAGTGCGCAACTAACATTGGAAAGTATGTATGAGAAAAGAATAATAGAAAACATCAAAAGGCTATACATGACATTTATTTCTCGAACATCTCGAAGAGTACTTCGCTATGGTCGTACCAACGTTTGTGGACTTGCAAGAATTTGTCTTTGGAAAGAGATTCATTGTAAAGGAAGTAGCGATACTTAGGAATGGATCTGTTCTCTCCCATTATGTCTTTGCTAGTCCCATACCATGGCATCTTCTCACGAAATCCGATAAATCGAGAACATACTGGTTGATGGCTAATCATCATGGACTACGATAAGATGACGGGATCGTTGCATACAGCAGAGCCAAGCATTTAATTACGACAGCTATAGTTGGCAAATCATGCGATATGGAACATGAAGACGTTTCCCCCAGACTCGTATACGTAAAGAGGTGTGAAAAGCGAGAATGGTTGGCGAATCTTCTAGACAATATAAAAAGTAACCTGATCATCGAGACCTTGAATGCGGATTACGAGGACATAGTTTCCTTGAACAAACTGAATACAACCAATATTTTACAATGTAATAATCATATTAAGCATTGTGCTTTGCAGAATATATTAAAAATATTCAATTGGTGATCTCAGTGCCGAAGAGAGTTGTAAACCTTTATTATGCAAAATAAACATTTTTAAAAATATATTAATATCTTTTCTCTCTTTGACTTCCTTTTCCCAACCAAATCTTTGAAAAAGTATGTACGTAAGTATATCGTAGGTATGCGATAGCTCGAAAGCATACGATAGTGTATGTTTAAAGATAAATTTTTATCGGGGCTGCATAGTTTCGGAGGGTAAACTCTGCTTGAAAAGATTTGTCCTCCTCAAAGAATGTCTCGAACTTTCTGAAATATTCGAGAATATTCTAGAAGACGGTGCATGGACGAGTGGTCGGAGAGGGGGAAAGGCCATGAATATTCTAGAAGGTGGATGGGTGGCGCGGCCCGCTCGCGAGCCGCTGCGAACAGGGAGGGGGCAGAGCCGAGATATAAATTATGTTAATAAAAAATATGTAGAAAAATATGTCGGTAAAAACAAATCGCAGGGTCGATAAAAATTACCAATTATGTCGGTAATAAATAAATATGTCGGTAAAAATGCCGGTAATAAATATGTTGGTAAAAATACCAGCAATATATAAATATGTCGGTAAAAATACCGGTAATGAATAAATGTCGGTAAAAATATCGGTAACGTCGGTAAAACCCCCTGCCGTCAGCCCCCACGCCCGCAGTTCCCCTCGCCTCGCATCCCCCTCAGAGGACCCAAGTTAGAATCTCTGTAGTATACCTACTTTTATCTGACACATATCTTCGTCGTTTTCTTCGAAATAATCACGACAAATGTTTCAATGCACATAAAACAATTATAATATCAAAAATGTAACCTCATTTATTAACCCTTCAATTTGATATTCAAACGAACCGTCACTTGCCTCCGGCAATGACAGCCGCACGCAACGCGAAGCAAACAACTCTTGCTCACCTACTTTTCGCGCTTACTTCGCAAAGAACCAATCAAATATTCGGAAAAAGTGGAACAATAAGACTCGACATTCGCGATAAAAGCACACTTCACAGATATACATCAGTATTTTTATTATGGATTTATTTACGCACGCACGTATGCATGCACACGTCTACCTTGCATTACTTATATAAATTTTATCTTTATGTAACGTTTAGAAGTCTTTACCTCTAGTCAAAAACGTCTTTTATTTAAATAGTCATACAATATACCTAGTAGACACAAAAATAAAATTCAATATTATGTCAGCGTTAATAACGATATTTTTGTTCATTAATCATGTATATTATTATAATGAATGAAGTTTAATGAATTTAAAAGATTAAAACTCTGAGTCATATCTTCGTCAGTTATGTCCGTTTATATCAATTCAAAAAATTTTTATCTAATTTTATCTAATTCATATCTAATTTTATCTATATTCTTATTTTATTTGCTTATCTTTTATATTTACGCAGTTCATACAGTACACTGCATTTATTTATGAATACTTTCCAATCTTATAGTATACATTGAAGCGCACATACCTTAATGAAATCATGATAAACTTATTACAGAGATGCTTATTTCTAAACTTAATGAGTAAAAAATGTGCGATTAAAAATTCTAGTTTAAATACACCATGAGAGAGAATATATCTGAAATAATCATTTTTATATTTAGAAATCACGACATGGCGATTACACAAGATGTGATGGAATTAGTGACAAAAAATCGGAAAAGACATGTGTATATGATACTCTTCATGTAAAAATTAATTAAAAATATAAGATAAATTTTACCTTTATAAGATCCAATTTTTAGAAAAAAAACGTTTGCAATTTTGAAGATCAAAAGTTATATATTTTTCCTTATTCCTGAAACTCAAGTGATAAAATTAATAACTATATAATTTCTCACATGTGTCCAATTGCTTTTAATAAAGATTGTAGTTACATATTTTACCTCAAATAACAATGATCTCAATCTGTTTTTATTTAAGAAATTAATGTTTTAATAATTTTTTGTCAAACGAAAAATCCTTTTATTCATATTTTAATATCACACCCTGTATATATTGACGGTCATCTTACACACACTAAACTTCATAATTACACATTTATGTATAAATCTTTAGGAATCAAAATACAGAATGACAATGTAATAATAACAGTGCCAATATTAATAAATTATCGGCCATTCATCAGCTATTGTGAATAATATCACAATATATCTACAGCTAACTATATCGCGTAAATATTTGTAAATGAATATATGCCATTATCTCGGCTAATTGAAAAGTTTTTACATGTAAACTAAATATATATATATATATATATATATATATATATATTTAGTTACCCATATATGTGCGCACGCGCACGCGCGCACGCACACACACACGCACGCACACACGCGCGACGCACGCACACGCGCGCACACACACACACGCGCACGCACACACATACGCGCGCGCACACACACGCACACACACACACACGCGCCCACGCATACGCGCACACACACACACTTATATGCATATATGTATGTATATGTTTAAATATATGTATAGATAAAAATGTAGTATATTTTATTATACAAATGCGGCGAGACATAGAACAAAATATTCAAATGTCTATGCTGTTTTAAGACGAACAACATACGAGCTCGAAATTAAATATAGCAATCAAAATTCAAGTACAACATTGGACCTCATCGCAAATAATGAAAATCGTAAATCGCAAAAAGTAAATCTTAAGTAAATCTTGACGTTAACTTCTGTACAATATGCAATACTTCTACATAAATTACCCCGTAAATTCATTTAAAATAAAAAATTATAATGCGTTATTTCTATATATCCAGGTGTCTAAATAGATTTATAATAATATTGATATTCTCACACAGCAACGCACGTACACAAACTGTACTTACTACGCCTAAAATCATAATTTAATGACGACAGTATTTTGTCAAAGTCATGTTATAATTTATAGTTGTACTTTTTTGTAAGATTTTACTGTATCAGTTAACATTGACGTGTAATATGCTGTCAAACAATTTTCCAAAAGTAATCTTATCAAGAAAAAGTGATCCATGATAAATACTTACACTGCACTGATGTTTTATTCTTTCCAAGCGGTGTTAGACAAAATGTATTCGTAATAAAACGGATTTGACTCGTTCACATATGTAGCATATAAAAAATATAACTACACACAATACACATACGGAGTCATTTAATTACTCACTCACTCACACTCACACACATACACACACGCGCGCGCGCGCGCGCCAACGCACGCACACACACATACACACACACACTCTCTCTATCCCTTCTTTCTTTCTTTATTGCAAACGCATATTCAAAAATGTCATCAATTACTTACGAATAAAAAAATCCTGCCAAATACCGCTTTAAAAGAAAAATACATTACATCCTTAATTATCATCAGCATCATCCTCGTCGTCGGATATATATTTCTTAGTAACTCGCTTTCTACGACCACCCCTTCCCTCGCCTTTTCTGCCTTTTAATTTAATTTTCATTCTTACGCTGGAGTCCGCGTCTGAGCCTTCTTCGCCATCTAATTAAAAAAGAGAGGATTAACATATTATTTCAATCTTCCTAAATGATCAGAATATATACGTACCTTTATCATCTCCGTCGGAATTATTACCTTCTTCTTCAAGGCGCTGACGTGCATTTGTGAAAACAGATTGCAACACTATTGAATCCTCATGAATAAGAGATGCTTCTTCGTTATAAATTTGTGCATTCTTACAAAGTTGCATAAAATCTTTCTCAAGCTCATCGAAATCAGCATACTTGAATAAATAAAATTATCATCAATATTTATATATAATGGACTCTTAACAAATATATAAAATGAATACTTACTTTGCCTTCTTCGATTTTCTGCAACAATTTATTAATAGTCAAAGGTTTCTTAATGATATCATAATAGTCTGGCAATTCCCTTCGTGATGGTAATTTCATAAAAGGTTCACTCAATACTCGGCCATCAGTACTATCAGTGTAATTAACAACTAACATGATTAACTTCTTCATAGCCTGTTTCATTTTGGGATCAACCAAAGCTCCGCCACCTCTTCGTTTCTTCGGCATCGGCTCATCATCTTCCTCACCCTTTTTCTTTCGTTTTCGTGTCTTTTTCTTCTTCTTATCATCTTCCTCTTCCTCTTCATACTCTGCGCCGTCATCATCGATTGCCTTCAACCACTCCTTCTCAGTCAAACTGTCAGAGTAATCAACTTCTTTACGTTGCCTTGAACCTCTTCCAAGGAATCTGTCTTTGTCCTCTTCATATGTCCACCTTTCTACCTCATCATCATCTTTCACCAACCAGTCAGGCAATTCGGCTTCCTCCAATAATCGTGACTTGCGATTCGGGCCCATATTGGCCTCCTCGCGTTCTACATCCAATTTCTGGAATATTTCGAATTCACCTTCTGTCCTAGCAATCATTTGATTCACAGTTTCGTCATCGGGCACTTCATTTTCTTCTTCATCCTCAGCGTCATCTTGATGTAAGATACTCTGAAGAAACTGTTGTCGCTCAGATCCAGTAGACTTCTGATCAAACATTCCGGCCTGAATAACCTTCTCGTCCATGTTTAATTTATATCTAGCCGCTGCTAATATTCGTTCTTCAACAGAATTTACAGTCATTAATCGAAGTACACGTACTTCGTTCTTTTGTCCTATTCGATGTGCTCTGTCTTGAGCTTGCAGATCCTGTAACACGTGCATATATTTTTTAAATGCTATATACTATAAATTTTGTATATTTTATTTGTTAATATCATGTATGTACCTGATGAGGATTCCAATCAGAATCGAAGATAATAACTGTATCAGCAGCTTGAAGATTTAAACCAAGACCACCAGCACGTGTAGACAACAAGAAAAGGAAATATTCCGATCCGGGATCATTGAACTTTTTCAAAAGATCACCTCTGTCTTCCGCCTTCGTTGTACCGTCCAATCGTAAATACATAAATCCTCGCCAACTCAAATAATCTTCCATAATTGTCATTAATTGAGTCATTTGACAAAACAGTAAAACTCTGTGATTCGTAGCCTTCAATTTAGGAAGAATACGATCGAGGAGCTCGAACTTTCCAGATGCACGATATAGATCGGGTCTAGTGGCATATACGAACTAAATAAATTTTTTTTTACATACAAAGAGTTTGAAAATAGTTGAGAACAATATGCATACCCAGTAATAACACCAGAACCTTGTGTTCCTACATGTTCACAGTATTTCTCTTCTATAGCTTGGAACATAAATGGATGGTTGCACAATTTCCTGAGCTGAACGATGGTATTCATAAGAGCTTTGGCACCACCCTTTCCTTGTTTACCTTTTTCTGACCCATCAGTTAATAATACACCCTTGCTTTGCATATGTCTAGAAGAATTTAATTTAGTATTATTACGTTTGCAAAAATTTTTCAATATAGAGAATGGATGATACGATGACATACTTATAAAGTACTTTCTGAAGGCCAGACATGTCGCATTTGATAATATATTCTACTTTATCAGGTAACTGTGACTCTACTTCCTTCTTCAAACGTCTCAATAAGAAAGGCCGCAAAACTTTGTGTAAACGACGAATAATTAAAATAGTTTCTTCTTCGTTAAGTTCCACCTATGTAACATCATAGTGATAAAATATTAAATAAAAATATATTATAAAGAAATTACACATGTGTTTTTTTATTATTAATTAAATGTTTACCTTTTCACCAGTGGTTGCAAAAGGAGCATTAAACCATTGCTCGAATGTACTGCAGGATTTGAAGATTGAGGGTAGCAAAAAATTTAGAAGAGCCCACAATTCTGGCAATTTGTTTTGCAAGGGTGTGCCTGTCAAAAGTAATCGATGAGGAGCCAAGTAATGCGTATTCAGTACTTGAGTAAGTTTGCAATGATGATTTTTCATTCTATGTCCTTCGTCGATGATCATATACTTCCATTGCAGTTTAGCTAACACGCCTTTATCTTTGATAACATATTCATAAGTTGTTAACAAGACATTGAACTTTGTAGCTCGCATTTGAGACTGTATCGTTCTTCTGCCAGCTGGAGAACCTTTGTATGATACTACGACGACGCTTGGTGCCCATTTCTCAAATTCAAGAACCCAATTTGACAATGTTCTAAAAGTATATACATACACAAATACACACACTATATATATATATATATGTGTGTGTGTGTGTGTGTGTGTGTGTGTGTATGTATATATATATGTATATATATATATATATATATATATATATATATATATATATATATATATATATATATATATATATATATATATATATATATATATATATATATATATATATATATATATATATATATGTGTGTGTGTGTGTGTGTGTGTGTGTGTGTATGTATATATATATGTATATATATGTATATGTGTATATATATGTATATATGTATGTATGTATGTGTATATATATATATATATATATATATATATGTGTGTGTGTGTATATATATGTATATATATGTATATATGTGTATATATATATATATATAT